TGCCAGTCATCCACTGATCTCAAAACCTGTCATCCATATATTAGAGTTCAGACAATTTCAGTCAAAAAAGAAAATGTGAAATCTATGTCATTATCCTTCATTAAAAAATAGATTGGATTTGGGGGCTTAATTTGAAGTGTTTCTTTGGAAATATTTGTATTAGGTCTCACCTTTCCCATAGACATGCCATTTCACATCAGATAAATAGACACAAAGGAGAAAATCACTTTGGATGTTGTCAACTTAGTTGAGCAAACAGATTTTAACTGCTGATTCAGTGCAAGATTCAAAATTCAATGTACTTTATAGAAAATGAGTCCCCTTCGCCTCCATATTGGTGTATTAATTAATTGAAGATTGATGTAACGGAATCTTAATGCATTACACCCTTGCGGATACTATATACAGAAATGAATGTAGAAACTTCTGCAAACCAAATACAGCTGCTGTTTTAAATAAGGAGGCTTCCTTTTTTGACAGCATGCATTGAACACGACAGGCATGGCCCACCTTTTATTTTCCCCTTCTCTAGAGCACAGTGCTTTAAAGGGAAGTCTTCCCTATAATTCACAAAAGGGCTGTGGGGTCACAAAGCCCTTTCTGTTGTGATCATTTGGCATTTTCCTAACAAATCTAGAAATACAGTCTCTTAAGAATGTTAGGGAAGTAGCATGTTCAGAGAAAAATACCTCTGCAGTTGTCTCAATGTCTGTTCAAATTTTAAGCCAGCCTTCAGGGAAGGCTGAATGCCCAAAAGCAACCTCTGCTGCAGTGATGTTCTATTGTATTCACCTGTCCATCCTCTTTTCTCAGGTCCACAAGAGGTGGCTCAGGTTCCTCCCCTTCTGAGGCTGGGCCAGCACGGCGGCACCCATCCTTCTTCCTCAGAGTCCTCAGAGCTGCTCTGCCACTTCAGCTCCTCTTGCTGCTCCTGATTGGGCTGGCTTGCCTGGTGCCGATGACTGAGGAGGACTACAGCTGTACTATGGCCAACAACTTTGCCCGCTCTTTCCACCCCATGCTAAAATACATGAATGGTCCACCTCCATTATGAAGGAGACCTGTGAGACAGCAGGTGACCATGCAGGAGAGCTAGCTGTGAGGCAGGATGGTTTTAAAGGGTGGCAGGATTCAGTGTGGCAGCTTTACCTACTTAATGTAGTTGCTGCTGTGCTCATTATCATTCTCTGCTGGCACTCAGCTAGTAACACATCAGTATATCAGTATCAAATTCACAATGTATTACCTAAGTAGCATTGTTCAAATACTTACATCCTGGGTACTAAGGAGGATGTGACGTGTGTGAGGGAAATGTCCTTCTGTCCAGCATTCTGGATCTTTAGCCACTTTATATCCAAGTCATTGCCCTGTACTATGCATAGCTGAGGACTTGATACTGTAGATCCTTTCCTATGTGCTGCTCTAAATGAGCCTTTAGCCAGTCCTTGTTAAATACCCTCTTGGTATCTACAGTATACAAAATAACCAATGCTAAAGAAATTTTAGAGCATTTGTAACATACAGTTTTAAAGGATCTTGTATGGCAATGTATTATTCCCTGTGGTTTCTGTTTTGGGCATGGTGTTCTAACTTTTGCTTTGGATGCACAAGGTGTAAATCTGAGAAGCACTTTTTTAGGGTTAAAAAAATGGATGTAATAAATAAGATCATAAAAGATTTTATGAGGAAAAACATTGAATGTCAAGTTGAAAAACAAAGGACATATATATGTACAGTTTGCTAAGCCAAGTTTTGTTTGTATTGATTTATTTGCATTTATTATAGATACCATAAAATATTTTGTCTACGTGCTTTTTAATGACAACTATGGAAACCTCTAAGTTTAGAATGAGATATGTATGGTATAAAAAAATTAGAAGACGTACATATGCTGCACTTCTAAAATGGATTAAAAAATGCTGTAACAAATTCATGGTATTAGGTATATGTTTGAATGAGAAGGTGCGGGGAACTTGACAAATGTGAAGTACATGGGAAAGCACCACATTAGAAGCTGTGCTAATATTGAAAGCAGTCCATATTTTTAATTAGTGATTGGTCATTTCAGAGTTGTTTTTTTTTCTCAAGCTGCTTCTTGAATTTCATTCTTAGCCATGTGTTGTTTGTGTGTGTGTGTTTACGTATGCACTCGTGTGCAACCTTTCACAATTGAGGTTGTACCAGTCCCCACTAAAACATATTTTTTTCAGGGAAACTCCATAGCAGTTTAGTACCAAGATTTATGTTTTACCAATAGTTAATCTAGTGGAATATGCCCAAAACATTAAGCATAAATAGCAGAGAAAAAGAAAAAGGGGGAGGGGGGGGGGGGGGAAGGAGGGGGAGAACAAATTAAGAACTTATAAATTTTCCAGAAATACTGCAGAAACCTTGCAGTCCGAGCAGTGGCAATCGCTTTTCCCAGCTTATCAGTCAGAACTCAACCAAAAGAGGATTCTCTTTGATTTTGGTAAAAAGACAGATCATGGCTCCAAGTTACTGTTCTTTAATAGTCTGGGGTTTTTAAAGCCATGACACACAATGTGATTTTTTCCTGTGAGTTCAAATTTTGTTTTTACTTAGAATATATTGGCCTACATAACCAAAATAAAAAAGCCAGAAGAAATTACAACCACATTGATTGCTGTTACATAGAATTACATTCCTGGAATGTCATCACTGGAGCTGGAGTGAGGTAGAGTACTACAACTGAACTCAAGAATTTGGAGAAGCCAAAGTAAAGCTTTCTTTCCAGGTAAGTGTAACATTAACATTTTCCTGAAAAGGATTTTGTATCCTTTTCCTTTGTATCCTGAAATGGATACTTTGTCAACAAAGTATCTTAAATGTCTGAGATCAGACTTGGACCAACACAAGTATATATTCTTTTCAAGGCTTAGTTTCTTTTATTGGTGTTCAGAAATTATGCTAGGCTAGGTTAGCATCCATAGTCACTGATTCTGAGTAGACAACACACTTTTGGGGTGCAAGGATGAGCTGTTAGTTGCACCAGACCTGACAGATTCCGTAAAATTGACCCCTCCTCTCTTTTCTGTTACCGTAGTCTTTGGTGACATAATTTAGTCATTGCTAATCTATGTACCTCTGTGAATATTTGGTAGTTTCTCAGACCTGTTAGTCCAGATCTCTGTATGCTTTAGACATCCTTCCATCAGCCACTCTGGTTTTGGTGGTTAATTTTTTGTTAAAAAATACTTTGTTTTCTTTTAAAAGAAAACATTGTAAAAAGTAAGACTAATTTAGTGAGAAATAAAGATCTTGGCCTGACTTTGTCTTGTATTTTCCACCTAATTATTGGTGATCTCATGGAAGTAGATGTTATCCGAAGGGTAGCAGATAGCCTGTGAGTATCAGCCTATGGAAGAGCAGACTGTTGGAGGAACCAGGCAAAAAGTCACAGGTGAGACCTGTCTTCATGTCTTTATAATACTTAAAAACTGAGGGTGAGGCAGGGAGGATTGAAAGGTGTTAGGAGGGAGAGGGCAGTACAAGGAAGAGATTTCAGTTTGAATTATGTCAGATGCAATTAATAAGGTGCTTTATCAAAAGTATACAGAGTAGCACTTGGCATGCTCTGAATTGCAACCTGATATTTGGATTTGCCAGATGTTTTGCCACTCTTTAGCCCCTGCTTCCCTTGGTTGTTTGAATGCCTCCCCCACTTCTCCAACTCTCCACTTCTCTGACTCCTAAGGAAGAATGGCCTGTCCTCTGCTGAAGGAAAGCAGAATTTGTACACCTTTGTCAAGCTCCAGGGGATTTTTGTGGAGTAGTCACTAAATAGAAGTGGTGGGGGAATGGTTCCATACTGATCATGATAGTCATGCCCTTTTATTTTCTCTCACTTGTTGAAATATTCAGTCTTGGGAATATGAGAAGTGATGAACTGATGGAGGAATAGAAATTAAGCTGCTTAAATAGGCAGGAGAAAACTGATGTGAAATCATAGGAACTTTTCATAATTAATTCTTTAGAGTTAAGGCTAAGGTGGGAAAGAATTGATGATAATTAAAAAGGGGTAAAGAATTAGGAAGGTCACATTATCAAGTATCAGTATCCCTTTCAAATTGAGGGCAATTTTGGCTGCTGATTACCTTCAAGGATATATGTGCTTTGCTGATGAACCAGAGGGCGGAGCGTACCTGCTATGCCTTGCTTCCTTCCAGATGTTTCAAAGCAAATCTGGTTCTGTTCATAGCCTCAAGCTCCAAGCTCGAGCTGTGGAGCTAACTATAGTTTCAGCGTATTGCCTGTTTATTTGAAAGAGACATTAGATATAGAGAACTTTCTTTTGACCCTGAGTGATTTGCTCACACAGAGCAATTATCCCAGTAAAGACCAGACTCTCTATGATACCTGTGAATAAGGCAGTCATGGGCAGCAATAGACGCGCATAAGGAAAATTTCATAGATGGGAAAAATGCCTGTTTGTAAATATTGAATCCCCCATACCTTCAAGGATAGGAATGTCAGTCTGCAAGCTGATGTCTCAAAGGAATCACAGGCAGTTTGTGCTCGCAGGTTAGAGGATCTCCTGACTGCCACTTTGGGCTTCTTACTTTTGGGACCTTCAGTTTTAACTGCAACTCTAGACAAAATCAACATCTGACCAGATAAAAGTGCTTTGAGCAATTGGCTCCTCCAAAAGAAATTTCCTGGCTCTAAACCAATTCCATTATGACTTCAAATGTGATTTTGCAGAACTGGACCTTGATTCGAAAAACTGGTGCAAAGATATCAAAATGGAAAAAAATGGCCATGATCAGGATCCTGTTAAAGCAAGCTCCATCCCAGGAGCACCAGTGACTTGAGCTGCAAACCCCAGAACGATACCAACATATTCCTTGATCTCCACAGCATGAAGCAGGTTAAATGGGTCAACTGTATGGGGGGTGGAAACCACACCCAGAAAGCTGTCACGTACTGAAGCCAGAGGCACTAGCCAGCTTTGCAGCCTGGGCATCTTTCTCACCCTGATAATGTCAAGCTGCTCCCTCTGCCTACCTCTGTGTTGTTGGGGCGCTGTCACAGACAACTTGGGTGAGGACAAACTTTTTAAGAAATGCACAAGTTAGCATCTGAGATGCCCTGTCTCTGTGCTATGCCTGCAACCTGTCATCTCGCTTCTTCCTGAAGTGCCTCACTTGGGCTCTGCAAATACAATGGACTTATTTCTTGGCTGCAAAGCATAAGGAAAGGCAGTACAGGAGCTGCAGATCTCTGGGTGTGTGTTGAAGGCACATGTTAAAGCATAGGGAAAGGAGATTTTCCACCTTGGGGAACTCCAGTCATTATTGCATTATATTCTTCCTCATTTTCTACTGTAGATAAATGCACTAGCTTCTGTAGAGGTGTTATCATCCCTGCAGCTTGATGCATCTTGCAACGCTGAATCTGCTTACAGGCCTTCTTAACTAGTGGGTGTTTAAAAGCATAATGGAAACTGGTTGCTCAGCAACTCCAGACTGTGCAGTAATATCAAGGCAGTATCTTACTATGCTTATAATAGTGGAAGATAATGAGCACCATTTGCCCTGAACTTACTGCATCTGTTTATGAAGGTTTGTTTGTGGACTATGCTTTACAAAATCTGAAGGCAGACTGAAAAGAAATATCTAGAGATGTCTGACTGTGTTAGGAGTACAAACGATCTGAAGTTGACAGAAATAGTGTGCCCTTATTCCTCACAGCTATGAGAATGATGATACCCATTGCCTATCCCTCACCCTGTTCCAGCAACAATAACAGCTTAATTCTGCAGCAGATCAATAGTTTCTTGCCACTGGTTTGCCACCCTTCCAGCTCCCCTGCAAATGCTGTGAACAACTGCAGTCTTGCTTTCTCCTTCCATAAAACTTTCTCCTACTGCTGATTATTGAATGGACAAAGCTGCTGAAATTGTCTTATGAACGATCATCCCTAGCCCTCAGAGTCTTGTGCTATTTGTGGTTGAGAAATTTGTTTACAACTGATAGCATCGCTCAACATGCTCATCGTCATGTGTATCTGAGTGCATCTGTGTGCATGTTCAAAGGCATAACAGAAACTGGTTGCTCACAGTCTTCAAACTACAGATGCTATCAGGATTTAGCAAATGTAGGAGGATTCTGGGAAGTAAGAGCAGAATGAAGAGAAGAAATGCATGTTTTTAAGCAAGAGAAGAGAGCATTTATATTCTCACTTGCACTCCCATGTTTTATTTGATTTTTAAAGCAATGGATCGCGGAAAGGAAAAGCAAGAAATGCCATAGTGAGGTTTAAGTTTAAGCTGGGTGGTCTGGCTTCAAAATTTTTCAACTCTTGCAGCAATCAATTGCCGAATTACTCTAAACCTAAGTTGGGGTGGGAGAGGAGTTAGAGGGAGGGGGTCATTTATCTTTTGGCTTTGAGGGAAAAATGTGTGTCT